TTTTTAAAATATACCTACATCTATGTGCCACATTCCATATACCTCTTTTAAAAATATGAGAAGGTTTTGAATATTTTTAGGAAATGTTGATAAATGTGCACAAAAGACAGGCCCCTTACCCATTTTTAGAATTAATTTATCATTTGAGCATTTATGCAATCTATTATTACAGAAATAAACTGTTCAGAATAAGAAAAACTCGATTGCGTACAATCATTTTATTGATATGCAAAAAATCTTAGAACAGGAAATTTTCTGGGTAAGAGGAGTAGAAACCTAGAGATGGAATATGAAGCCATTTTCTTCCAAATATTCTGGACACCAAAATAATGGCGGTGTGGTTAATTAATTGCTTCATCATTTGGTGACAAAACACCTGCTTAAAAATGGCTTCACTTTCAGTTTCAATGCAGAATGGCGTGTTCCTACTCCTGATGTCCGTAGGAGAGCGCGTCTCTAAGCAAAAAATGCTCCGACATCTCAGAATAAGAATGAATAACGTAGAAAGTATCCAGATTGGAGGACAGTAGAATGATTGAATGAAAGTAAGAAAAGTAGAAATACATATTGAATCATAAGTTTTGATTTTCAATATAGCCACCTTGGTTGGCTGGTTCTTGATGGTATGCATGTAAAACATTCTATTTGTCACTCATTTGTAAAACGTTACAGTTAAGACAAAACCAATGAAAATTATTTTTCTGTGCAACCGTCCACGAAGTGAGCTTTCGCGGTCACCACACAGTCCGCGAAATTCAATTTCGCGGCAGCCACGCCTTACGTGCAAAATGTGTCAAATCCATACAGTTCAATACAGTTTTTCTATAAATTTACATGGGTAATTTTTGCACCAAAAATAGTGTCCTCGAGATTATCTTGCCTCGGCCGCAAGCGACCTCGGCGATAACTTTTCCCTACTTACGCTAAAAAGGCATTTCGCGGCCTTGGTATACAAATAACTATTTAGCTCTACTGACTTATTAAAATGACAACTGTAACTGTACTGATTTTCTCTCATACAAGTAATTAGTATGACTATGACAACGAGATGTTGTTAAGGTCGTTGTTTATAATTATTTGAGGCATCTACATCTTCAATAGTTCTTGCATTTCTTATATTTCAACATAAAATCCCACGTGTAGCCTGGCAATGTATAGTACAAAGCAAGCAGTATCTGAACCATTGGTAGTGCAAGAAATTTTTCAGACATTTTCAGGTGATTTCAGGTATAAGTCTGAATATTGACCCTAATTATTAATTTCGAATTCACCGCAGATAGTTCGAGCATGCGCATATTTCCCATCACTTCACTGATATTTTCATCGTTTCGATCATAAAACTTATCTTTTAATGGTAGCTCAGTTTCAGTTATAGTATTTTACATTATTAGCCAGGTAAAACAGTTTTTACTGGCGATTGAAGGAAATGACTAGCGAGCCGCCAGGCGAGCTTGTCACCTTCAAGAGCCAGTAAAAACTGCTACCTGGCGTATAATGTACAATAATTTATTTGTTACTCATTTGTAAAAGATATAGGGACAAATAAAAAATCAATACATAACAAAAATTTGAAATTTATATGCTTTTCCTTGATTTTTTCTCACAGAAGTTTTGGTAGTTGGTATAACTATGAGAATGATACGTTGTTAAGACGTTGTTTCTAGTTATAAATAGGTTTTTTGACAGATTTCCATTTTGCAATTTTTTTCCAGAAATGAATTTATTAAAGTCCATTCCAAAATAATTCGTTGACTCTTCAAGTATCAATAAAATGTTGATGATACCCTCAACCACAAACTTCGACTACCTGTGAGCAGGTCCGGGTTGATTTTATTTATTATACCTGCCTAGGTGAGATGTACATGTAAATGTGGGTGAATGTTTTAGTTAAATTATTTAGTCTTTGTGCAGAACTAGAGCTGTTATATTGACAAAAAAAATGTGGCGTCCATGGGCAAATGATGGTAGTATTGCATCCGGAAGTGGTATTTCAAAAAAAAAACACTTATCGCTAGATGCCAAGGAAATTGTGAGGAACGTTTATTTAACCCTTCTGCAGAGAGGCTATAATCATAATCAAAGTGTGAGTGAAGCATCCATTTTAACCAAAACTCCATTATCTACGGTTAAAGATATCGTAGCCAAACGCATCCAGCCAAGGAAGCAACGGTGTGACAGCGGCAAGTCAAGAAAGGTTGAAGAAGCGGATAAAGAGTTGATTTGTAGGAAAATTTATGATTTGTACAGTAAACAAATAATACCTACAATAGATTCTCTAAAAAAGGTACTTATAGAAGACGAAACTGATATATTATGTAGCAGAACAAGCCTTTGGAGAATTGTGAAAGCAATGGGTTTCAAATATCAAACCATTAATAAGAGGCAAGTGCTAATGGAATCCCAGCGATTACAAGCATGGCGTCGAGAATATTTAAGTTCCATAAAACAATATAGGGCAGAAAATCGTCCGATAATATATCTTGACGAAACATGGTTTGATACCCATGACACTCCCAAAAGAGGATGGAGCGACTCAACCTCCAAATGTCAAACCAAAGCACCCTCAAATAAAGGCCAGAGGATTACAATTTTGCATGCCGGATCAGAAAATGGTTTTGTTCCAAACTCTTTGCTGCTATCCGCAAAAAAAATAGCCAATTCATAATTAGATTACCATCAAGATACCGATGCAAAATTATTTGAAGAATGGTTTCAGAATCACCTTCTTCCGAACATACCAGAAAACAGTATAATTGTGATGGACAACGCTAGTTACCACAGCCGTCAAAAAAATAAAGTGCCCAATGCAAGTAATACAAAAGTAGAACTTCAAAAATATATGATGGAAAATGATATGTATTTCGAAGAAAATTATACAAAGAAAGATCTTTTAAACGTTTTGAAATCATATAATGTTAAAAAAGAATATATTTGTGACGATCTTGCTAGCGCTTGTGGTCATACAGTTTTGCGTCTTTCTCCATATTATTGTATTTTCAATCCAATAGAACATATCTGGCATGAATTGAAGGCAATGGTTAGGAGAGGAAACACCTCTCCTACACTTAGTACTGCTGTAATAGATTTAATTAGAAAATGTGTAGATAATATTCCAGTTCAAAGCTGGAAAAATTCTGTCAATCACGTTATAAAAGTTGAAGAAACCTATAATTCAATAGGTATTAATGTTAAGCCATTAATAATTAGTTTAGGCATAGATGAAGATGACAGTGACAGTGAAACGGAACTAAATATAGATTAGGTTTGGTTGAATTGTGTATTGTATTATATTGTATTAGATATTAAGTTTTGGTAATTATTAAGATAGTATAAGATTATAACATAAATAAATAATATTATGAAACGCCTTTTTCGTTTTCATTATAATGGGCACAAAATCCGTACCTGTAAACCTTTGAGTGGGTATTAAGGAACCCGGTACCTACATAAAAGAACCTGGTACCTACACAATAGAGGCTAATAGCTATCTAATTTATGGTAGGGTTTTATAGCCGTGAAGTCAACGAAATATTTTGGAATGGACTTTACAAGATATTATTAATGAAACTGCAGTCGTAGCCAACAGTTTATCACCAGAAAAGTCTCCCAGAAGGTACCTACAAGCAATTATTCTTGTGATAAAACCGATTTTTCAAAAATAAATAATTCTACTGACTTGTAAAAAGTTTTTACAGTTTAGCTGTCAATTTTACAAGTCAGTAGAGCCAGTAGCTTGTAAAAATCAATTTTCGCTGGTTATGTTTTGACTTGATAAGTGACGTTTTACAAATAAGTGACAAACAAATTTATTTACAGTGTTGATGTAATCCTAGCAAACAACTTCTTTTCGTGTTAGTAACTGAAATTTTTCATTACCCAAACTATTGAATTTTTTTATTTTTATTTTCAAATCGTCAATATTTAAAGTTGATGCTAATGCTACTAGCGATGCACCCAAAAATCTGAGTGAATCGAATTTTAATTTAGGTATTATTAGAATCGTGAAGCGTTAATGAAATTTAATTTTCCTAATTGATAAGTAACAGACTCACTTCACCAATTTTACTAATTTCCCTTATTACGAAATGGCTATCGTAGCCTGAGAGATCGTGGAAGAACAGAGGAACCATGAACATTTTACGAAATTGTAATTTGCAAATTGAGTGGGCAAATCCTCTCGAATGACCAGTAAAATGATCATGAGCATTTTACAACTTTGCCATTATCAAAGTTCTTTCCTGTGAAGGATTTCTAACAAATGTGACATGCTTTTGCTTGTGCAAGATGCGGATGTGTGCAAAGTGGAAGTATACAGGGTGAATCTGAAGGGCCCCACACACTACGATGAAACACGACGGTTTTCATCGCCACGATGAAACACGTCGTTCCAAAACCGAAGTGTGTGGTAGAAAACCGTTCGTGTGTACGAAATGTTGAACGTGCCAAAAATCAAGCTCGGACTGAATTTTAAACCGACGATGAAACACGACGGTTTTCTACCACACACTTCGCTTTTGGAACGACGTGTTTCATCGTGGCGATGAAAACCGTCGTGTTTTATCGTAGTCTGTGGGGCCCCGTAGAAAACCGTCGTGTTTTTCCATTACACACTTTGGTTTTAGAACGACGTGTTTCATCGTGGGGATAAAAACCGTCGTGTTTCATCACTACGATGGCAAAAAATTGTTTATATAAAAACTTTAAGATAACGGAGGTAGGGGTATTTTCAGGTTTAAAGAAGACTTCAACTATAAAACATTTTGTTCACATTTTCTCAAAAAAAAATGTGCAAAAAACCCGTTGTCACAAGTCACAATAAGCCGCAGCACAAAAGAAAAAATGTAAAACAATGGTATATCGCTGGCGCATTAGCTACATAAAATAATTAATCCAAAAAGTTAAAGTGTGTAGGACCTCCAGCATTTATGATAAAAGTGGCATTTTAACATCAAATATAGTTTTCCTTTTGTGATTGCCTCAATTTGTGTTTTTTTCTTGTAATGGCACATGTGTACGAGAACAATGAGTTGGTGGATATGATCTTAATTTACGGTGAATGCCATCAGAATGCTGGTGCAGCTTCGCGCGTTTATTCTGAACGTTTTCCATTACGTATCCACCCCAAACCAGCTGCATTTGTGCGTCTAATTCAGAGAGCTCGAGATTATGGAGAATTACGGGAAAATCGGGGAAGACATGCTGGAAGGGGTAGACCGCCTCAAATGCTTGCAGTTGAAGAGGAAATTAATAATTTGATTGACGATGATCCCGCAACTAGTTCTGGAGAAATTGCAAGACGGTGGGTGTTAGTCAAATGAAAGTTTGGCGCACGCTACGACAGGAGCAACTGTATCCCTATCGCATATTCAACGTGTTCAAGCCTTAATGCCCCGAGATCATCCCCAGCGAGTTCCGTTTTGTCTATGGCTTTTAAAACAACATGAACATGATGAACATTTTACAAGACATGTTTAGGTTACCGAAAATCCGCATGCTGTTCGCAGAACTAACTTCCAGCAAAGGTTTTCTCTTAACGTTTGGGCTGGAATGATTAATAGCCTGCTTATCGGCCCCTTTTTTTTACCAGATAGGATGACAGGTGCAAACTATCTTAGATTTTTGAGACGTAATTTACTGGTATTACTTGAAGATTTGAATTTAAACATACGTCAAGTAATGTGGTTCTTAACCGATGGTGCCCCACCCTATTTTAGTCGTCGAGTTCGAAACTACTTAAACCGTCATTTTCCTAATAGGTTGGTGGGACGAAATAGACCAATTTCATGGCCTTCACGGTCGCCGGACCTTAACCATGTGATTTTTATCTGTGGGGATACATGAAAAGTTTGGTTTACTCCTCAGAAATAAATAATTTGGAAGAGTTACGTAATCGAATCCAAAATGCAAGTGAAACAATTCGAGGACGCGAAAATTTAATTTTACAAGCTTGTACTGAGTCTTGGATTCGCCGAGCAGCACTATGCGCACATCAGACAAATGGGGATACTTTTGAACAATTAATGTGATAATTTTCATCTTATTTTCCCTAATAAATCTTCAATTTTTGAAATTAGATTTTTAATGTACAAAAACCTAAAATACCTGTACCTCCGTTATCTTAAAGTTTTTATATAAGTAAACAATTTTCTGCCAAACAACTTATTTTGGCGAAATATATACCCTGTTAAAAAAAGCCTCACTTTCAGATTTACCCTGTATTTTTAATTTTTTATTGAAACATCTGCGCTCTATTAGTGAACCAGCTCATACAATCTTTGTCACGATAACCTTTAAAAAATGAGAATGATTTATCATAGGTTGCTGGTCATATTCAGTGGCATTCTCTAATAAAGATTCAAAATAAAAGGAGCTTCTTGTTTATAGATAATAGTTTTTAAAGCAAACGGATTTGTAACTGGGAAATGAAATTTTACAATTTTTTTTTACAAAATGGTTTCTCCCCAGATTTTTATCTGCTGTTTGATAGGCGAATGGAATGGTTAACCAAATGATACATATTTTCCGTTGTTTTTATTCTGACACTTTCCATATGAGGAGCGAGGGGGTGAAGCATGTGGCAAAAACAGGTGTGACGTCAGGTGACCATTGCCGTTCTAATGTAGGATGCCACTAGCTCACATTCCTTTGGAGTATCAGATTAAAATCGACAGACTTTACGTATGAGTGATGTAGCTCAACAATCTCATCCTTATTCAGTGGCTAAGGCGTTTGGTATATTTTGACTTCGAAATGTTTATTTAGAATTGAATTATTATGCTTCAAAGTGAGACAGGAAGCTACCAAGCCTCAACTACCCAGTAACAAATCGCGGTATAGCATTTGACAGACCAAAGCGACTAGCAAAGTTGACGTAACGGCATCATTCTCCCATCTGAAATTGATTGGTACCTGTTTGACAGAACAAACTGGAATACCAAACTGAGGCGAAATCGCCTTTAGCATTGGACATCTCCAAGGCTTTTGATCAGGTGTGGCACAATGGTCTCCTCAGCAAACTTCCATCGTATGGTCTTCCGAACGAATTTTGTTATTGGCTGGGGAGCTTTATGGAAGGCAGATCACTGCATATTGTGGTCGATGGTGTATAGTCTGATACATTGCCTATAAATGCCGGCATTCCCCAAGGCTCAATTCTCTCACCAACACTGTTTCTCATTTTTATAAATGATTTGTTGAATGTGACAAGAAACCGCATATACAGCTTTGCGGACGATAGTTTGATGGAATCTTTTTCTTCTCACAAACCGCTAACTGCAGCCACTTCCACACGCCTCGCTCGAGAACAGATTCATCCTATCAACCTTAGATTATATATAGTTAACACTAAAAGATGAGTAATCAACTTCCAAATATGGTACAAAGATCTCTCTCCAAATATTTTGATTTTGTCTCTCTTACTTTGTTTACGCTGGTTTTCTATAGTACGATTTCCAAAAATCCGTTTACATTTTGGATCTTTAGACATCCCTCTCTAAGGCAATATGTAAACGAACACTATACAAGTCTAGCTAAACAGAGTATAGTGTTTGGGTGGTTCCCAATAGCAACCGATTGCCGTACCTGCGTAAATGTCAATATATATTATTGTGTGTTTATTTTATCGACTTTTTTGGGTGTTTCACTGCTTTAAAGTGGAATTGTTTAAAAATTTATCATTTACATGTTTATACATTTCGTGAAAGTTTCTTAATCAGGATTTAAAATGACTAATAAGTGTGCAGTGTGTCAGAAAAGAGGAAAACCAGCGGATTGTTTATCATTTCACCCGTTAGTAAACAAAACTTATGACATCGACATGATTGAAGGGAAAAAAAAAACAGTGTCGGAGGTGCATGTAGGCCACAAAAATACAACATGGAACTCTGACCTGACCTCGACAAGGTTCGTAAAGAAATCCACAGGCTCTTTAACAGGGCTATACGGTTTAAATCACTAGCTGACTGGGACAACCACAAGCAGTCTCAGCGCAGATACAAAAATCTTAAGAGAGGATCCAAGAGAGAATCGTGGAAAACGCTTTGCGGAAACGTAGACGAGCTTCCGCAGCCGCCAAGCTCCAAAAGATTCTTTCGAAAGACCCAGGACGAGAGCTGAAGTCACTAAGGCTTCCCTCCGGTAGTTATAGCGCTATCCCAGAGGAGGCACTTATGGTTGGCTGCTGGAAACACACTTTCCAGACTGGGCCCTCCACTCATTTGAAGCTTTTAAGTGTGCTGGGCTGGGCTGGGCTGGAATTACTGAGTCCGCACCTAATGAGCCTCTTTAGGGCCTGCCTCGCATATGGTCAAGTACCACTTTCTTGGCATAAGGTTCAAGTTGTTTTTTCGTACATATTTTAATTTTGTATTTCTATTTAACACTATTTTTTAGTATTCCGGATAATTTATGATATGGAAAAAACATGGTTAGGAGCATTAAATTTAAAATCCAGCTCAGTAAGCGAATGGACGTATGTTTGAGCAGACCATTTTAGCATTGGAGACTATAGATTTTCAAAAGCTGATGCTAAAATTTATAAAGCCCCTACTGTTTCTGTTGTTGCAAGCACCAGCGCTTCTAGAGTCCTGTCCAGGTTGAGGGGTACTTGTCGAGGTACTCGTTCATAGGTTTAAGTATGTGAAAAAAAATCATTAATTTTGGTTTTAGAATGAATGAAATGAAATTCGCTCTGACTGGTTTGTGATTTCTGCAGAAACAGACCTATTGTTTTGGTCCCACAGCATGTATTTTTTTTTTGGAAACAGTCCAGTTTGCTTTCAGTTTATTTATCATTTTTAAAACTACCTTTTTCTGGAATTAAATATACATTTCAAAAAATGATTTTTTTATGGGTACGCTTATGGGAGCCTTTGCTTCTAATAAAATACCTCTACGTATTTCTTGGGAATACGTAGAGATTCTTAACACATGTTTGTGCCACCTTGCTCCAATGCTTTTAGATAGGGCGTTACCTATCTTGTCACGTTAGTAGATATTAAATCTAAAGTCTTTTTTTTTTAAAGATAATTCCCCAAGTCCAAAATTTAGTAACTATGTTAGCAACACAAGCCTTTTCTACATAAAAACTTTGAAGCAATGACAATTTTACATTGTATTGCCAACATAATGTCAGTTTGACTTTTATCTTTAAAAAAAAAACAGATTTTATGCTATCAACAGTGATCTTGACAGTGTTGACACCATTGCCAACTGAGGCCTCAACAACCTAGTCAAGTTCAATGATTCCAAAAGTAAATAAACCGAAAGTATTCACAAATATGACCATATATCTTCTTATTATGTGGAATCGGGTTGGTTAAGACTGGAAAAGAGGTTTATGGTACATGTGCTGCTGCCAATACAGCTTTACATGAAAGATCGTTCACATATTATAATACCATGGAATTTCTTAACTCCTTACCTATCGGCATAAAGGAATCAAGAAGTTTTTCCATGTTTAAAAATCGCATTATACATTAAATCGCAATAATTCAACAAATTGGGTAGGTACTATTTAGTAAGAATGGCGAATGGTTAACTATCGCGGACATGGAATAACAGAGATCGCATAATTAATAATTGATTTCTTATTTTTGTTTGTTTTATTTTATTTTATTTTATTTAAATTTTTTTCCTAAAGGACATCGCACACATCTTATGGGTTTTCGGGGACCGGTCGATTTTTTTAAAAAATCGGTATGTTGTAGTACTAGCAAAAATAAGCATTTTTCACCATTGCGCCAAATCTCTAACTATACAGGGTGACCCAGTAAAGTAGATCCGAAAATCATAAAACAAGCCTTTCCATTATCGGTATTAGCGCGCCCTGCAAGCTAAATATCGAGATTTTTGTTTTCGATTTCGCAAATAAATAGTCAGATAAGCCTAATATACTATACAGGGTAGCTGAGCTTGCGTATTTTTTTAGAAATCCTGCCCTATTTTTAGAAATAGTGTTACCAAAAAGGTCGTGCTGGAATTAATTTTGTCCGATTTAAAAAAATGTGGTATCAAAATAAAGCATATATCACAGGGATGTCATGAAATCTAAAAAAATTAAAAATGTGATAAAATTCGAGGTGGTTGAACGTGATAAAAGTATAACTTTTCATTCGATTATGGTCTTGAATACACCCAATACACCTAAAGTAAGGGGCGGTTCCTCAATTGCGAGTAACTCTAGGGGTTAACTAACCCGGTGTTAATTTCAACCTTGGGGGTTAACTGAGGATTGTGTTTCTCAAGCATCCACCGTAGGTGGAGTTAATAAACACTGGGTTAAGCAACAGTTGGTAGCATTATTGTTTACCAGGATGGT